TATCTCTTACTGTTACATCTCCGGGCAACGCCAGGTTCTACTGCTAGTAATTACTAAGCTTAGCTTTGGCACTGTGCTGTAATCATGTGGCACCCTGTAAGGACTGATGTCACTTCTCCAAAGTAATGGTCTTTTAAACCAGCTTGCTAACCATTTTATACAAAACTATATTCATATATCATCATATTTATATTTCCATCACTGTGAGTGAATACTTTTATAAAAGTACATCCATGTATATAAGAGTGTCTATCAGGATGAAACTGTTTATCTATTCTCACAGTCTATTGTCAGTGAATTCTATCCAAATTTGCAGCTTTTTTTACCCAATGATGTTTACTCTGTACAAGGCCTAAGAGCCACTCGAGGTAGAGGGTTACAGAGTAATAAGCACAGTTTATGTAGAGATCTGGGGAGGATAATGTTTAACTCTAGACTTGAACTGGTTAAGATTGTAGTGATCAGGGAGCATCCTCTTGGGAGTCAATTCTGCAATTCTAAGGTATTCTTAGGCAAAATACATGTCTACCTGTAATACAACTCAAAGTAGAAGCTTGAAGCTTTATTTGACTAATTCAGTTTTAGCACTGAAAACGTTTATTTTGTTATGATGGATGGTTTCAAGTGGGAAGGGAAATGGGATGTGTTTATTTGATTACCACACTACCTATTAGGATTTCAATGAGAATATATACATTTATATTTGTATCTACATATATGTCAGGGAAGATATATTTTCATTTTCAGAATGCATGTGTGTGTCTGAGAAAAGGAGAATGGCGAAGGGGAATGTATCAGTTATATATTGAAATTCTTAATTTAAACAGCTATTATATATTTGTTTTGGTCTTCCTTCTTTTGAAATGGCGTGAACAAAATGAAAGTGCCCCCACCATCAATATGACACTGCCATATTTAGGGAAAGAGAGATGAAATAGACTGAACCTGCCATGCCAAGAACACGTGTGAATCATCACCAGTCTCTTTGTATTCCATTAGTAAGAAGGAAGTTCCACTCAAACAGCTTTGGTAAGAAGTGAAGTTCATAGGGTTATGCAAGTAAGATAAAAGTTAACCCTAGGCTTAAAGAGGTCAAGATAATAGTGAGTGTAGAACAAACTCCCAGGAGGATGTTTTCCCCAAAGCAACAGTTCTGGAGAAAAAGTTGTCTGAATGAAACTTACTTCTCAAGAACTGCTGCTTGATAGAACAGGAGGATTATTATCTTGACCTCTTCAAGTCTTGGGTTAACTGTTATCTTACTTGTATAACCCCATGAACTTTTCTTATGCTCATACAACACCACACAGTAACACTTTACCTTGAGGGGCTCTTGGGCTTTGTATTAGGTGAACATTAGCATAAAAAAATGTCTGAAAGTCAACACCAAATTAAAAACAATAAATGCTTAAAAGGGTACTGCAAATAATAATTGCATTCATTCCTTCTATTTTTATATTTTGAATGGAAGAAAATATTTGTTTATTATAGTTTTATTTTTTTTAAAACTAGAATTTAATCAATTTTTATTTTAGGCCTTCAAGCAAAAATGAATAAATTCAGCATAAAGATGTACTTTTTGATGAGACTCACATACAGTACCAGAAGAGCTTTCTATGTCAAGTAGCATTACTTATGCTTTCTTCAAGTTACTATCAAATTGAATCCTGTTCCTAATATTTCTGTCATAATTTCTTCATACTATTTTTTGTATTCCTAATTTGCATTAACAGTAGTAATACTTTTAGTTTATAAAGGTTTTGAGATTAAGTGTCTTCATTAATCTACACATATTTTACTAATACTTAAACTGTTTTTTAAAATGTAACTTGAAAGGATATATATTGTTTTTTTGACCAATATATGATCTTCAAGCTATCAAGTAGTGCTATAAAAAAAAAAAATTAAAAAGCAAATAAACAAACAGCCACAGAAAGAAATACATAAAATATGAGGAAAAAATTTATGAAAAAAAAAAATGTAAATATTCAGAACCTTATACAAGCTAAAATATTTTAGCTATGATTTTATTCTTGCTTGTCTATCTGTGAATTCCAAATGTATTTTGGGAGGTTCCTGTCTTTTTTTTTAATTGTCTGTCAAACCAAGTCAAGTTTTAATTTCAAGTCAAGTTTCCTTTTGTAATTTTTAAATTATTTTTTTTTTATATAAGTTTGAAGAAAGCTTCTGGAAGTCAACATATTCCAAGAGTTTTTGTTCAGACTAATATGAAGTCTTTCTGTTCTTTTTTATTTATCCAATGCATTTTACAGCATTCTTCATGTGTAGAATGAAAAATTTGTGGTTTCTTTTTCTAAAGAAGAATAAAACAGAATGAAGTCTTTAAGAAAGCTGAAGGGTGAGATTGAGAGTTTAAACAACTCTTGGAAAGTTCAAAAAAGTTTTTCCTTTCATGGTAACTGTTCTGATTAACCCTCCTCTATTGTACAAAGGCTCTATGAATTTAAGTGGATTATTAGATTGGTGGCAAGATCTCAGCATTTTACTGTCAAAATGACTAGATATAACCATAAGTTTTTTTTGCTAACAATTTCTTCTTTCACACTTCTCACTTGTGGAAGTCTCTTCCAGCTTCTTACATTCCAGTCAACTTTGATCTTCAAAAATTTAAATGTGATGTCAATTATTATCTTCTGTCCTCTTAAATTCTGTTCTTTTATTATTCTCGTTCCTTAATAATGTTTTTCTTATATTCATTCACATTCACTAACCCCCAGCTTGGCTCTGATGACTTGCTTGGGGTAAAATGATTTTAAAAATATATATATATTTATAAATTATAATTGCACCTATAATTTGAAATTAAAATAACTGATCCAATGTGCAACTTTTGGACAATAAGTGTGACATTACTGTAATTATTGAACAATATAGTTCATGCCACATTGACAGAAAACTTACCAGTAAGAAAAAATTCTCTTATTCCTATATTTGTACAAAAACACACAACCTTAAAATTTAAAATTCAAACTCAGCATTGCCACTGCATGTTCCAAAACAATAACACATTTCTCATAGCATTTTTTCGGATTACATCTCTATTTTCGTTGTCCTCTTATTACCAAGAAGTAAAAACAAGAACAAATCTATTTTCATACCTGAGGATGTCTGTAGGAACAGACGAAAGCTTGTAAAAAATTAAAAAGACCTTATGCAACTGGAATTTATAAACAGGGATCATATCATTCATATACAGGTTCGGGGTTGGTGTATCTCTTTGATATTGTTTGCGAAGATGTATTCTCGCCATTTAAATCATTAACCTATTTGTTTTATTGTATGAATGATTCATGAATTTATAAATTATAATTGCACCTATAATTTGAAATTATATATATATATATATATATATATATATATATATATATATTATATAATATATAACATTATTTTTCTATTAATGTTGTGAAATATTTGTTCATTAAATAAAAAGCAGTAAAATATTTTAAAAGAGCATAACCTGTGAGGAACACCTGCACAGTGACGTAACAATATATATTTAGAGAAGTCAACAAACACTTGTTGTCACTTTTGTAATGTCAATCAACACTCATTGTCACTTTCATAATGCTCATTGTAGTTGGGACTTTGTAATCACAGATACAACTATAGTACACTGTTAAACAATACTGTTGTAAGACACCTTCGAATAGTACTCACACTAATAGTACTTGCACAATAATACTCGCTTGAACAGTAAACTGTATAGTGATCTGAATAGAGAAACAGTATAGAGAATAGTGGTCTGTGTAGTAATAGAGAATAGAGTAGAATAGCAATCCGTACAGTAACAGAGGACAGAGTAGAATGATGATCAACCTAGATGGCACACAACTTCCTATATATGTGTTTCCTCTAAGGTCACATGATCCACTTAATTTATTAATAGGATCACCTGTGTTTGCTCACTGGCAATCTATGTTCAAACTCAAGTGTTGGCAGTGACACTTTATTCCTATATAACAGTATGTCGTGTAAGTAAACTCTTTTTATTATTTACCTTTACCAATATAGTACAGTTAGAAAGGCCACACATGGGCTGAATTTACATATCACATTGTAAAAAGGAGCCCTTTTTGATAATTATGCTTATTATATGTAATTTATAGCCTGTGGTACAGAAATCTACATCTTATCTCGAATCCAAAACTTTTTATCAACTCAGTGACTTCAAATTTCTTTCAAAATATATAAAATGATAAAAAAGTTAAAAAAAAAAAAAAAATAAATAAAAAATAAAAAATGATAATTTTTGTCTGAATCTGTCGAACTGTGACAGATTTTTTCAATGAGAGAAAAATATTACAAATTTTGTTGTATGTGGGATGTGGTGGGGTGGTAGAGTAATTTGGGTGACAGACGCAGGTAATGACCTGAGATCACAGGATAGCAACGGCACCTTGGGATAAGCTCTGCACAGTAAATCACACAGCATTGGAAATTATAAGAGAAATTATCCCAGTCTGTATATATAGGTGAGATGAACAAGATTTACTTTTTATACAGTCTGTACATACAATGTGAAACCTAAAGCAATATCAAACCACAAAAACAAAACAACATAACAGAATTTTTTTTGTTTTTGATGTTTCAATATTTTTTCCCTTTTAAGCTTCCATACATTTTTTTTTAATTCTTTTTTTTATCTCACTCCAATAGCCTTTCATAAACAGGTCTCCCACTCAACTATAAATATGTAGTTTCACTATATCAGAACTTTTGGTCCCATATCAACATAATTGACTGTGTGTATGTGTGTATAAATGTCTGATAATTTTCAGTGGTTTTCTCCTGAGAGACGAAAGATGAATGCTGGAAGCAAGATTGGAGTGACGCCAAGTTAACATCCCCACAGCAAAAGCAAGGTGCCAGGAGACGGTCATCTCCTGTCTTTCTCCTTGCATTCCATTTTAGTTTTTCAGCATAATTTTTTCACTTATTTAATTCTTACCATAATTCTTTCTTTCTATTAAAACTCTATGATCCTTTTCTTTCTTGTGCTTCCTTCTCTAAATTCTATCACCTTTTCCTTCTCTAAGAACTACCTTTTTTTCTATCCCTTTTCTATATTCTATAACTATTTCTTTCTCTTTCCTCTCCATATTTTATTACTATTTCTTTCTTTCTCCTCCCTCTCCATATTTTATTACTATTTCTTTCTTTCTCCTCCCTCTCCATATTTTATTTCTATTTCTTTCTTTCTCCTCCCTCTCCATATTTTATTTCTATTTCTTTCTTTCTCCTCCCTCTCCATTTCTATTACTATTTCTTTCCCTCTCTTCCAAACAGCTTTCTTTTCCCTTCTACATATTCTATCATCATTTCCTTCTCTAAGAACTGCCTTTGTTTCTATCCCCTCTATATTCTATTACTATTTCTTTCTTTTTTCCTCCTTCATATCTATTACAATTTCTTTCATTCTATTCCTTCTCTATAGTCTGTCTTGATAACTTTCTTTCTATTCTCTCCCAAAATTCTATCATGCTTTCTTTTTTTCTTTCTTTTTATACTCTCCCTGAGAACTATCTTTGATTTTATTCCCTCTTCTTTATTTATTTCTATTCTACTTTTATCTATTCATTCTCCATATTCTTTCTTTTCATCCTGAGTGGATGTGCATATGTGCATGCAACTTTTCTTTCTTTTTCTTCTCTATCTTCTTTCTAACTCTTTCCATGATCTTTTTCTTCTTTCTTACTTTCTATTCCTTCTCAATGTTTTTCTTTCTCTTTTGATTCTTTTTCTCATTATTTCTTCCTTCCACATTTTAAAAACTTTTTAAAATTCATTTTGTTTCCCATTCTTCATTCTGCTTTTTTTCAATAGTTTTTAACTCATTAGTTTTTGTTAATGAATATTCCCATGATTAGGGAGATTATATAGCATTGCAGAGGTAGAAGGAAAATTACTGGACAGAGCCCATCTCCTCACCAATTCGAACTGGCTGATACCAACAGATCTGACAACACTTTTTGTCAATGTGGCATGCCAGTAATGAAACCTTTGGTTAAGCCATTTTTTTTTCACCATTCACTATATGTATTTATTCGTTTTGTCTGTAACTCACAAATATTTTTTGATCTGAAATTTTCCCCTTCCTTTGCCTGTAATACAGCAATGGCAATCTTTAACATTTATGCCTTCCAAAAAAAAATGGTATGTAAAAAAAAAAAAAAAAAAAAAAAAAAAAAGGTTGTTTTTTCCTTTAACTACCTTCACTCCTCTACAATTTTTGTTGTTTTAAAAAGTGATGATTAGAATCGTTATAATACTTAAATGTATGATGAAAGTGATTTTATACATTTTTTTTTTTTACTTGAGAATTTGCCTAAAAAATATTACCTTGTAATAGATTTAAAGTGAAATTCAAATTTCCACCAACTTTGTGCATATTCTTGGAAAAGGCATGAATTCATCCATTTTTTATGGGTTAAATAGTAAACCAGCCTATCCTGCTGTTTAACAATTTAGATGTACATTTGGCATTTGTTTAACGATCCAGATTTAATTAATCTAGCTGTTTAATAATCTGGTTAACCAGCAGAACAATCTAGAAAAAGAACAACTTTAAATTCAAAACTATGGGGAAGACAACAGCAAACCACTATTTCTCCCCAAGAAATCAATGGCAATTCACAAATAAGAAAGGAAGATTCTTTGGAGAAGCCTGATTTCTTTATATCTTGAAGAAAGAAATCAATCAAAATTATTTGAATTCTAAGATGAAGCATTTCTCTTATTAATTTTTTTATTTGTTTTTATTCATTTTTGCTGTTGCTTTTCATCACAATATTCTATATCTAACAGTTAAACTAACGAAGTATGAATTAAAAAGTAGCTTCTCACAAAACTTAAACTCATATTGTTATTAATTTTGACTAATATTTAGTTTCATCTTAATTTTTACTTGTTTTTTTTTATCTTAATCTGATCAATCTATGACACAGATCAGAAATCTCTCAAACTTACATGACTTTTGACTCAGAGAAGCCAGATAAGTGCCCAGTCACCTTAACCACTGAGCTATAAGAACTTGATAGCTTTGCAAATCTAACCTATCACTTATCACTCCATTAAACAATCTTTATCTATGTCTATATTGGATTTTTTCTTTTTGCACTAGTAGCATTATGACTATCAGCAATTTATACTTGTATTATTTCAAACTGTTTTTTCTCATCTTGTTTAATATAGACAATACTATAAGCATAATGTTTCAACCAAGTACTTTCTGGTCATTATCAGGCCTCCACTGAGAGGGTGATATGGTATATCTCTTTGATTGTGATATTTTGTCTCTGTGATAAAAGTTCTACCAGGATTCATTATTGGTGGGCACAATCTAAACAGCATATATGCAGCTAACACATTGTTGACAGCAGACAGAAAAAGGAAACAGTGATAGCTCCTAGAGAAGGTAGTCAATGAAAGTGAGAAGAAAGGACGAAATATAAATTGCAAGAAGATAGAATGCATGGTTGTGAGCAAAAATAAAAATATGGAGAAACCAAAATCAAACAAGTACAGCAATTTAAATATCTGAGAAATGTTTTAAGAAAGTGTGACACTGAAATCCAAAGGCACATTGGGATAGCAAAAGTTGCCTTCCAGAAGCTAAAGAAAGTATTAAGAAAAATTTTGTTAGAAACAAAGAAAAGTGTACTGAATTGTCATGTAATATCAATCCTTCTATATGGCAGTAAATGCTGGACAATCTTCTTGTAAATGAAGAAGAAACTTGAAGCAACAGAAATGTGTTTCTACAGAAAGATGCTGGTAATACCATGGACTGAACATGTGAGCAACAGAAAAGTTTTAGAGAAACAAAAAGGACACTTAAAATTAATATCAGAAAGAGATAGTTGAAATTTCCAGGGTACATAATGAGGAAAGAGGGCTTGGAGAATTTGATACTCACAAGATATATTGAAGATAGGATTGACAATTTGATACTCACAAGATATATTGAAGATAGGATTGACAATTTGATACTCACAAGATATATTGAAGATAGGATTGACAATTTGATACTCACAAGATATATTGAAGATAGGATTGACAATTGCATAACCTGGTGAGCTTGAATAAACAGATGGTGGAGCACAGTTTAGGAGATATAACAAAAAGATAAAATTTATTAAGAGCTACAAAGACAGGAAATTGTGAAGAAGCATTATTAATGTTGACTCTGTTTACTTTCATCATAATTTCTAATTGCTTTTTAAGATAACTTTACTCAGGTTATCAATCTATGGCAGTGAATAGGCAATACAGATCAGAAACAGACTGTTGACAGAGATTTGTGGAATTAAGTATGACAAAAGAGATACGATTTCAAGTCTTACCTAGAACTTATCAATTATTTTTGATACCCACTGCCACAGATGGATGATCTGAGATAAGTTGCAAAAAAAAGCAACTAAAACTCTAAAAGATAAAAGCATATACTCATCAAAATTGATGATAATGGTTGACAATGCTTTATCTAATAAACAATAAAATAAAAATAATACTGTTCAACTTCATCTATTTACTGTGTTCCTTCAGGATATGGGCAATCATGACTCTGCACAACTTCTTGTCTTTTGCAGCTCTTAGTAAAGTTTGTCTTTTTGTTATCTCTCCTAATCCCTGTTCTGTTAACCATTTACATAAGCTTGTTAGGTAGATTATGTGTTGTTTTCCTCTGCCTGTCTTGCCTTCAATATTTCTTGTGAGTGTCAAATTTTCTAAGCCCACTTTCCTCATTGTGTCTCTTAGAAATTTAAACTATCTCTTCACAGGCTTCACTCACTCAAAGCCATTTTTAACCATTAATCTGAGAAAGCAGTTGTATACATCAGAGTTTAGATAGTGCAAAGAGAACATTATGTCATGGAATGTCTGACAACTTAAAATATGACAATCCTTTGTTCTGAAGTTAATCTTTTAACCTTGTTCAGTCTTTTTTCCCAACATCCACTATTTCCCTTTTCCTCTCTATCAGATTTTCTCTCTCTCTTATTTTTGTAATTTCTAGCTATCTTCATCCTCTGAAACTGCTAATCACCCAAAAATTCTTCTCATGTATTAGAAACATCGAAGAGGAAAACTGCCATTCATTCAGTGTTTTGATACATGAAGAATTTGTCTTCTTAAACAATGACATACACTTAACCTTTTCATTAGAAAAATCCAGTAGTAGGCAGAGGATGATTATAATGTTAGTTGTACTTAATATTTGTGAAGTTCTTGTTCTTCTTGGTGCCACCTCCCTTCAGGACATGGACTATCATGGCTCTCCTAAAATTCCTTGTAGCTCTTTAGCAGTTTTTCTCCTTTTATTAAGTCTCTCACACACCATTCTATCATACACACAGAAGCTTGTCAGGTAGATGACTCACTGTCTGCTCTTACCTCTCTTGCCTTCAATATGCCCAGTGAGAGTTAATTTTTTCAAGCCCCGCTTTTCTCATGAGGAATTTCAAGTATGTCTTTTTCTGATTCTGAGCATGTGTTCTTTTTGTTACCATTTTCTTGAAAACTTCCTCATTACTTGCTCTGAATTCTCTGTATCCTTCTGTAGAACCATATTTCTGATGCCTCTAGTTTTCTCTTAATCCATGGGGAGATTATCCAGCATTCACTGACATATAAGAATGATGAATATCACATAGCAATCCAGCACTCTTTTCTTTGTTTCTAATTAAATTTTTCTGTTTTTCAGCATTTTGGAATGCCTATTTTGCTCATTCAATGTCCTTCAATTTCAATGTTGCATTTTTCAGCCTCTGTTAAAAAACTTGCCAGATATTTCACTTTTTTTTTTCTCTTATTTTTCACACCTGTTATTATTTTTTATTTTTAATATATTTCTGTGCATTTACCTTTTTTTTCTTTTGGATTCAGATCAAAGACAAAACAATAGTCTAACTGATATTGGAGACCTCAAGGAAACATTATGAAGTAGAAATCTTAAATAGTGATAGAAATCAAAATGTACAATAATACCTTTCATAATTTTTAGATGTGTCATTATCATTTCAAGAACTGTTCAAATTACTGTACTCATTCTTTATGTTACTTTAGAACAATGTTTAAACTGATCCATTCTCTTGTCTCCCTCAGGTGTACAATTCATAAAGAAAGTAGAGGAATAGTCAATTCTTATTTTTCCTTTCCTGGTTATATCCACCAATTCTGTTTTTACAGTAGGAGATATTAACTGGAAAAAAAAAAAAGAGACCTTTGCCTATATTCCTTGTAAACCTGAAGAAGACTGTAGAGTGTATTGGCCGCAACACAGTAGAAACAAAGAAACAAAATGAGATCAGTAGTGCAAATGGCACTACTGTATACAATTCTAGTAATAAAAATATATGAAACTTTAATAAAAGAATTATTTACATGCAGACTATTGTCCTAATCTTTGTTGTTTTTATGACAACATTTAGAAAACTGGATCATCCACTCTTTGTCATGTGTATATCCCTCTGGATAAGACGAGGACAATAGTCCAAATGTAAATAAATAACTCCTCAACCCAGAAATTTAAAATGCAGTATACCTTTTAATATACATAATAAATTTACAAAGATTCTAAACAGATAATATTAAATTTATACACCTCAAAATTATAATGCTTATATGAAATATAGGCAATAAGGAATAAGTATTAAAAACAATGATAAAAGGGGATAATCATATAAAATCATAAGGATAAATAAGAGAAGAACACTTTTTCTCCTTTTCTTTT